TTACCTTAGTTTTCCATTTCAGGTTGGACTTTGATCTTGATCCATTGAATGGTCACTTGACACCATTGTCATTGTGCTTACAGAAGGAAAAAAAACATGAAAAGTATAACAAGAATTCCATACTAAGTCATTGTCATACAGGTGAAAATTCATCACAGAAATTGAAAACTACAAACCTTGTTCCTTTGGTCAACTACGACAAATCTGACTGCTGTAGAGCTACAATAAGTGTAATAACGAGAACACTTTGAATGAAACGTTAGGGTTAGCATTATCACATTTTTGACAGCAAAACCAGGATTGACAGATGTGTCCGCTCCCTTGCCCTGCCCAGCTAGACCAGACTGAGATGCCTGGCGGACCATGGAGTGAAAATGGGAGCACTTCCACCTCAACAGCACCTTCAGGACCTTCACTCTTGCCCCAGGAGCATTCAGCAAATACCTGGGCCCTTTATCTCAGATGTCCAGTTCCCCATCCTCCTACTGCAGATATTCAAATTTGTTGCTCTTTCTACCATGTATCTCTTAGTCCAACCTAATAGTCAAGACCCCTAACCTTCTTACTGCTCCTCACTCCTATCACAAACATTCTTTATCCTCATATATTCATCCTAAACCCGAAAGATTCTTCTGCGCTTTCAGAGCATCAACTGTTACCTGGTGCAGCTCAGACTTCGCTGTGGCTGCTCTCCCTGCACAGATCGTCCAGCCGTTCCCTCCTTCCCAGCCCACCCTGCCGTCCAGCTGGCTCCTGGCACTCCCCATTTCCCACCGCACCCAGCCGAGACTCTCCGCTCCCTCTAGGCAGTGGCCTCCTCAGACAGTCTTCCCACAAAGTCTCGTCTCTCTTCCTACCTCCTCTTCCTGGCAGGATCTTCAAAAACATAACAGTAACTGCAAATACCAAAAAGAAAAAAGAAGAAAAAAAATCTGCCTGGGTGGAATTCAGAGGACAAAAAATGAGAATATATTCAAGGAGGAAAAAAGCCAACAGGCAAACAGTAGCTCTAATCCTGACCCCCCATTCAGTCAATGGGAACTTTGCAATTGACTTTAACAAGATCAAATTCAGCACCTAATATTTATTTTAAAACACGGTTTTCTCCCCTACGTGTACTGTCTTCCTAATGTTATGCTTTACGTTGTGTATAGGGGGAGCCATTAGTCGGAAAATAAATAAAGCTGCTAGGTAACGCAATAAATTGTGGAGCACAGAACATTAACAGACTGACATGTCAGCTGTTAATTAATTTTGAGCAACAGTGTTACAAGATAGCCTAATGTTGTTATTTCTGACAACACACTGACTATGTCCTCTTTTCTTCTCCAGGAACAGTACCAGTTTCTGTACAAAGCTATTCTCAGCCTTGTCAGCACAAGGCAAGAAGAAAACCCTTCAGCATCTATGGACAGTAATGGCTCAGCTTTACCTGATGGAAATGCAGCTGAAAGTTTAGAATCTTTAGTTTAATTAACACATGAAATTAAACACACACATACCTACATCACACCAGTAACACCTGGAGTTTACCATTATTATTTTGAGTTTTATACTTTGTTGGGGGGGGAGGGGGGCGGGAATCTGTCCAGTCACTATATATATAATCAGATCCCAACCGTTGCTCAGTCACTTCTGTTACATAAGACTTTACTGTGGAACTTTCATCATTAACAATGTGTGCCTTTTCTTGAAAGATTTCTTGTAATACGTTGTTATGTCTGGACTAACTTGATTGACTTTTACAGTGTTTCTAAGAATTGAATTGTGGTATGTTTTTTCAGTATTAGTTTTTGATTTATCTGGCTTTACTTTTAACTTAAAATTATCATATTTATAGATGTTAGGGGATTCTCAATTACAAACATGTCATGGGTTTAGTATTTGATTTATTTGCTGTATTTATAACAATTTACATTTGCTAGAAATACAACTTTTAATATAGTAGAATGTAAATAAAATACTGTTCTCCATAACATTCAACATTTTAAGACTTCAATTAGACATTTAGAATAGTAATCTGATACTTACTGTAAATACTGCTACTTCTGTAGTGATCCATGGACCAAATTTATATTTATAATTGTAGATTTTTATATTTTACTACAGAGTCAGTTTTCTAGTTCTGTGTAATTGCCTTGTTAAAATGATGTAGTCCAGTATGTTTTTATTTTAACAAAGTCTTCTGATACATAATTGTGCATCTTAAGCAATTAACCTTCATATAGCTGCATGTGATTTTAACTTTTTGTGGGAAATAGAAATCATTTGTTTTGAAATGAGAAGTTTTTATGAGAATAACACCTGTACTTGGCATTGTTAAACTGTTTTTACCTATGGCATTGCAAAAATAAATATAAATATTCCAGTCTGTGCTTAGTGGTCTTCCACACAGAGTAAACAGTCTTCGCTGTCCTGTAGGAGAGCTTTTACTTACAAGAGTAAGGACTCAAGGCTGACCTGGAGGCGGCTGCTCTTCCTGTGGAATCTGTGAGTTCAGAAGACGCTTTTGGAAAACAGTTTTGTTATTTAATCTCTGCTTCACTTCCACCCATACCCATAGTGTCCACGTTAGCTCCTTTTTTAGCCTCTCTTTGCACGCCTCCCAGTCTGGTCACCCACAGGCTAATGGGCTGTCCCAGGCCTCCACATTGCCTTAATTGCCCCCTCACGAGACTTATCCATGCTGGCTTTGCTTCAGATCATTCATTCAGCTGCTGAGCTCTTTGCTGCCTCCTTCAGCAGAGCAAAAGCCAAACTCTGGGAAGCAATAAAGCAAGTCATCTCTGCCAGAACAAAACTAAATGTTTCAACTTGGCCACTCAGTTATTTTCTGTAACCTTCTGAACTGGCAAGAAAAGATACTGATTTTACTGAAGGTTGCAGCACTGAGGAGGGTGGAGAAGCCTGGAGCAGGATAGATCTTTGTTAACTAACACAGGCCGTGAGAGCAACTGTTTTCTCAATTTGGTACCTTCATTTGCTATGTAGAAATACTGAGAGCAGAGATACTGGAAACTGATGGACACTACCTTAGACGGAAACTAAGGATAGGAGAAGATGGACCTGATGTGGGCTTGGAGATTTTAAGGCAAGGGTGTATAAGGGATCTCAGTGTGTCAGTACATAGATCTGGACCATTTCAGCAGTGTGGGATTGAGGATAGGTGGAGCTGCAACAAAGCGAAAATTAGTTTAGGTTTAGAGGAATCTAAACAGTGGAAATTTTTTTTAAATCCTCATGCTGTTGATACATGAAATGAGCATGAAGGTGCTAGACCAGGAGACAGAATGGCACAGAATAGCTACCAGTAAAGCAGACTTTCTCCTGCTTTTGGCCTCTTTAAAAAACAAACAAACAAACAAAAAAACACCACCAAAACAAAAAACCAAACCAAAAACCATATATGCAAAATAATCAAAACTGTGTAATATATAGTTTGTTTTGTAAAACTGTTAACATGTTAATGTGCTTGAATTCTCTTTTACACTTAACCACTTCTGTTTATAACCACAGCAGTGCAGTCCCAGAGGTTATGGAGTGGCTGAATCCATGGGACTTGGGGCCCCAGGGGTTTCCCCTTCCCTGTCCTCCAGAGCCAAACACAGGGTGATTCTCCTGGCTCAGCCCAATGCCCCTTTGCCGGTCCAGCCGAGGACCATGCAGGGCACATGTTCCACTCAGGGACATACACATGCGTGTGCACACACACTCACACAAACGCACACAGAGTGGTAGAAACAGGATTCATCACACAGAGACTAGGAATAGGATTGAAGAAGGCAGGACAGAGGGCAGTGATCAGGCCCAGGGCACGACCAGGCAAAGGTACTTACTGCCCAGCAGCCTGCTTATGTGTACACAGCCCCTTTTACCCCTCTTATTTTCATTTTTCCTTGCTTATT